TCTCCTCAGGCTTTCGCTAAAATTGCAAAGAATCCGTCAAGAACGATCCCTCTCCGGCAATCACGGTCGCTTCCATTTCCACAAATACGTTCACCCTTTGGAACTTTTGACCTTCGCCAGCCCCTGATTACGACTCCTCCCTCACCGTTGTACGTCTATCAATGGGCGGTTGGCCCTATTTCTGTAATATGGCCCCATGATCCATTATCGCTTTGTAATTCAACGAACGTAATATAAATTCTCAATTATTATATTCAGGTGCGGCTATGCAGTGCGCTATTCTTTCGCCTGCATTCCGTGTTCGAGAGTTTTCTGTCAAGGATTCTCAGCCATATCGTGTGAAGATTACTTGGTCCGGTGGTGCTTCAGAAAGCGGGTGAGATTATATCGCATCTCTGCATTATAACGTTTTTTTTAGCTCATTTATGTCGAACAAATGTGATGTGAAGAAGCGTGAACTATTGCATAATTATAGCGAATCCGACGTTTTTGTGGAGCGAGATGAGTTCCCATTCTCTAAAATGGTCTCACTGTATCGAGCAGATGCCTTCCAAGTTGACGCTCGATATGCGCTGCCGAATACTGTTCCACATACAACAACTACCGTCGGTAATTTCTTAATTACTTGTCTATTAGCTATTTTGATAATTTCCATATGGGCGGGATTTTTCATAGTCCTTGGTTTGGCTCTGCACTCATCCTTCCTAGAATCGGTTTTGGGTGCATCTGAGAGAGTATTCTTTTTCGGAGCTATTCAATCCTCACGAGTGCGATTAGATCGTGCTTGCGAAGGTTGAAACGAGTTGAGTTCGAGACTAAGAATAATCCTTTTCATCACAGGTTCGTGGCGCATCACTGGAGTGTCGCCAAATGCCGAAGGTCAGCCGCGTAAAGTCAAGATAAAGGTAAGGGCTTGCATCTGATGTTTTTGCCCGTGCAGTAACTTCAACTTTTTCCATGTGTAAAGGGTTGCTACTAAGTTTATAGAGATCATCCGAACTTTTGTTGACTTCGCATTCCTCATAATGCGCTAGTGACGGGACAAATAAATTATAGCTAAGTAATTAAATACTTCGACTATTTTTTGTTCCTAGTTTTACGAACACGCCTTAATGAGTTGAGAAAATATGGAGACCCCATTGTTGAGCGCTATAGAGAAGCTGAAGCCAGAAAGGTTGGTTTGGGCTCTCTCTGTCATGAGAGCTCTGCTCACTCAACCATTTTCAGCCAGCGTTTGACGCTTTTGATACCGCCTAATTATTCGTGCTCGCAAGGCCTATGAAGATTATGTGGCTGGTGGAGAAGCACATGCTCACATTGACAGCGCCGATATGGAGAAGGTAAGTGCAGTGATCATTGTCAGAAGACGGCAACTACAGATTTTTTAACATTTAGGTTATAAACGCCATTGAGGAAAAGAAACGTTGGTTGGATGAAGCCCGTCATAAGCAGGAACGGAGAGCAAAAACTGAACCGCCTATAGTTTTCGCATATGAAATTGCACAGAAACAACAGGTGTGTCTTTC